ATTCGAATTGGAAAGGAAGATCTGAAGGATTTTTAGAACATTTCCAGTTGTCAGAAAATGAAAGAAGAAAAATCCTCTCCTATGATGTGACCAAAGAGTAAAACCCTAATAAATAATACCACAGTGCCAGTCGCCTTCCTGAATGTTATATTTTTAGGAAATTGTGTTTTGAGGGAGAGATTTGTTAACATTTATGGTCTTGGAAGATTACTAAGTATTTAAACTAATAGAGAGCCGATTCTGAGGTCTCTGTTCCTCATTGAAGGTCTCACTTGAACTCTGAGATTAATTCTTAATCTCCTGTGTTTGCTTGAGGACCTCTAGGGAGCTTTTCCAGATGTGAGCAGACTCTAGTCCTGGCTTTCTTTATACTATTGTTCTCAGTGTGAGTGTATATCAGATGAGGCAAAACCCAAATAATTTGCTTTTCTTTTAAATTCTCAAGTTGTTGTAGTTACAAAGTTGAGTATTTACATACTCCTGGACTGTTGTAAACTGCTTTCAGTTTATTTCAGGGAGAAGGTCAGAGAGGGAAATGTTTCTCCTTAGTACTTTTAAGGATATTACAGAGTGAATGCAATAGTGCCTAATTACTTCTCTCTTGGTTGATGTTTTTTCCCAGTAGATTATTAAAATTAAAGAAAAGGGAAGAAGTTGTACTCTTCTTGTTCTTATTTCAAATATAGATCCCAATATTGACAAATTTTAACAAACTATATCATAGTATATGTATATAATTATTACATTTTATTTCATATTTTTATTGTTTTTTAAAAATGTTGTCTTTTCGTCACTGTAAGATTGTGAACTATCTTTCCTTGGTGGGGAAACTATCTTTTATTTGAGATTTAGTTAATATCAATTTTAATTTATTGATTGGCAAATTTATGTTGATATACTGTAGAATGTTTTCTTGGTGTGAAGTTTCGTATATCACTTTAGACGTCATTTTATAGTGATACAGGTAAAGTAGCTCTACAATTTCTGGAGGTGAGAAAAATTGAAAGCAATAAGTTGTACTCTTAAATAAACTCTTCAGATTTGTGGACTTATTGAAAAGTTTTCATAAAGCACGATTAAATGTTCCTGTAGATAATACTCCTTTTTTGGTTTTTGAGCTGGTTGTTTGCATGAACATTTTAGTGCTTTGCATACTAGGTTTGTCTGTACAGTAATGAAGGACATAACATTCTCAAGGATCTCTAGTGGGAAAACATAGAAAATATGAAATCACACGATGCTGCTGTTTAGTAAGGTGCCTTTCAGAATCGGTGAAGTGGTGTGATGGCAACAGGCAGTAACAGTGAAGAGGGACGATAGCTGTGCAGAAAAGGACTAGAGCAGATACTTATAAATGAATAGTCCCAGGATCCCAATGCTAGCCTGTAATTTACTTCCTGGGTGCTCAGATTACAATGTTATGCTGTCACACCCAGATCTTTTTCACTTTATGTTTTCTAAAGAAACATTTGAGGTATTATTAAATGAAATAGTCCGTCTTTGAGCCAGGTAAATGCATCAGGCTGTCTGTTCAGAGCTTTGGCCTTGCTGCTGCTTCTTAAGGAAGTATGAGTAAAGGTGTAAATCCTTGACAGAAATTTTTAACCTTTTCTTCAATATGGTTTTCAGTTAATTAAATAACACATTTATTTATGTTAATAAATACCTTGTGAACATGAGATTAAAAAGTTTAATATACTTGGTAGTCCTTTAAGTTTTAAAACCAAATAATAAACATTAAAGGCTTGACTTGCTTCTAGATTGAAAAACTACAGTTTTAAAATAGTGGTATCTTTCATTTGTTGGATGAAGAGAATCAAAACATGCCTCAATAAATCAACAACACAAATAAACAATATGAAATCTAGTTTTACTTAGTTTCTAGAGAAAACCATAGCAGAAAATGCCCTTGCTTCATTTCTTTGTATCACTTCATTCCATTGGCATTAAGTTATACATTTAATCTTAGACAACTCTTGAGATGCTTTAGAATGTGCTGATGTGACCTGCTTAAGAAGAGTGCATGGGAAAGTGACCATTTGGAACAGATTGTTTGAAAACTTTGAAATTCCTGGGCTTGTATTAGTTTGTTTTTCATGGATCCCGTGAGAATACTTAAAAAACCAGATGATATGATAAAATTGGATACTATGAATGGCATTAGATTTTTTTTTTAAATTTTTTCCATTTGTTGCTGACTTCTTTGTATTTGATCATTTATTGATACACCAAATTTCATAGGCCAGAAACAGAAAATATCTTTATAAACAGACCCATCAAAGTACCTAAAAGCTTCATTTTTCAACAAATTGAACTTTTTTTGAAAATGGTACTGGGTTCTTGAAAATGCTAAATAATCACTTTGTCACTTTACTTACAGACTCTGTGACTAATCTTAATACAAAACAGTCTTAAAATACAAGCGAATTAGGATATGTTATTAATATATGCTATTACTGAAAGAGTAATAGGACTTATTAATAAGAAAACCAGAAATTGTTTGGAGTACATTTGTTTTAAAATATGTATGTGTATGTACACCATGTACACGGTGCCTTCAGAGGTTTAAAAGAGGTTGTCACGTCTCTTGGAACTGGAGTTAGTTGCAAGCTTCGATGTGACTGGTAGTAGCCAAACTTGGTTCTTTGGCAACAAGTACTCTTAACTGCTGAGCCATCCATTTCTCTAGGCTCTGTTAATTTCTTTTAATTACATATTTCATTAATGAATAACTTATGAAAGAACTAGGAATGAATTCAAGATATTTTGAGATATAGATTAGATCAGATTATCCTTTGACTAAAGAACCATAAGAAAATTAAAGTGTGAACTTCTTGATAATCTAACATTGAATAGTTAAAACTTTGTTTATTGGTATTTAGTTTTTAATCTATATAAACTTCATACTTAGTAATATTTAATTAATACTTTTAAATATTCAGATTGCCCGTAGATAAATATGCTTATGTTTGGGATACTCAATTTTCACCGATAACATGAGCCAAGATCAAAACAGTTTGAAGAATATTGATTTGAGACTTTTATGAGAGATAGGAAGCATGCCTTTCATAGACGCGCATGTCTGAATTACTGGCTTTCTTTCCCCCAATTTCAGTAGCTTCTGATAATAAGCTACTTTTATCAAAAAACTCTTGATTGTAGTAAACATAAAATGTTCAGTTTGGCAGCTACGTATGAACTATTTAAGTTTATTCACATGAAATAAAACTAAATATTCAATTCCTTGATTGCACGCATCAACATTCCAAGAGGTAAGTAACCACATAACTACAGCAATTGCTGTACTGGATGGTAGAGTTGAAGGTCAGTTTTGTCACTTCAGAAGTACTATTTTTGGACATGGTTGCAAATGACTCTTGCCTAAACACCCTAGCCTCAGCTTCACAGACTTTTTATTGACCAGCAAACGTGTTAAAGTGCCAGATGGGAGTGGAAAGGTATCCTTATTTGCATAGTCCTTAGAGGTATATCAGACTGTCTTAACACAAATTGCTGAAACTGCTTTTCATGTTTCCTTGATCACATTTCCCCCTCACATCTGATAGTGTTAATGTTATTTTTGACATCTGACATTCAAAGTTTGAGTACAAATCTTGTCTCCTTTAAGTTAGATTATCAGTACATCTACAGCCCCTAGGGAAAGTATTTCTTTTTTTTTTTTTTAGATTATAATCTTTTTTTTTAACTTTCTTTTTGTTTTATTGAGAAAAAAACAATTTCCGCCTCCTCCCAGCCTCCCACTCCCCCCCCACACACACTCCTCTCCCCGTCCCCCCACTCCTCTCCCCCTCCCTCTCAAGTCTGAAGAGCAGTCAGGGTTCCTTGCCCTGTGGAAAGTCCAAAGTCCTCCCCCCCCCCCCCATCCTGGTCTAGGAAGGTGAACATCCAAACTGGCTAGGCACCCAAACAGCCAGAACATGAAGTAGGATCAAAACCCAGTGCCATTGTCCGCCATATTCAGAGAGTCTGGTTTTATCCCCTGCTTTTTCAGTCACAGTCCAGCTGGCCTTGGTGAGCTCCCAATAGATCAGCCCCACTGTCTCCGTGGGTGGGTGCACCCCTCTTGGTCCTGACTTCCTTGCTCGTCTTCTTCCTCCTTCTGTTCCTCATTGGGACCTTGGGAACTCAGTCCAGTACTCCAGTGTGGGTCTCTGTCTCTATCTCCATCCATCGCCAGATGAAGGTTCCGTCCAGATGGAATTCCTCAGCCGGGAAAGTATTTCTGCTTCTAGAAACAGTGATTGATTTCTCTTAGATGCCTGAAAGTTGATAGTTTGTAGTTAGTACAACAGCATATGCTTTGGACAGATAATATATACCTTTGGACATACAACAGGCTTCAAGGAAAAAAAACCTGTAAGTTCTGTCAGGAAATAAAGCTGTTGTTTAAGGCAAACTTCTGAAGACACTTGAAGTATGAGTTTGCCATACTATTTACATGTGTTTTTCTTTGAAGTAACTCGACTCTAATGGCCACAATCATTTTCAGGAAAATATAGGGGCTGAAAAGATGGCTCAGTGGTTAAAAGTGCTTTCAGTCCTAGTGTGAGGACTGGTGTTGTGATCTGCATCCAAAACTATTGGCAAGACCTAGTCAGTGTGGCAGAGACAAACCCAGAGCAAAGTGATTAGCCAGACTAGTGATGCCAGAGGTTCTGGGTTCAATCGAGAGGCCCTGCCTCAGTGCATAAGATAAAGAACAATTGATGAAGGACTCCCACATCAACCGTGGGCTTCTATAGCCATGCACATATAGGTATATCTGCACCTGCACACATGTGTACATATATGCACACACCATGCACATTTGCATATGCACACACACAGAGAGACAGACGGACAGAAAACTTGTAGGTGGTTAGATTTAATTTGTAAACAAATTCCAAATTGGTTTTGAGAAACTTGAATGTCCTTGCCTCTTGTTATAGGAAACAACTCACATAATATATAATTAACAAGTACATCAATGACTCTTACAGGTGGAACAATCCAAAGTTTTAATCAAAGAAGGTGGTGTTCAGTTGCTGTTGACGATAGTTGATACTCCAGGATTTGGAGATGCAGTGGATAATAGTAATTGGTAAGAAATGTTTGTCTCCATTGTTTCCCAGGTCATTTCAAATACTAGTGTAGTTACTTAGCCAGGCATGATGGCACATTTCTTTTTTTATTTTATTTTATTTTTTTTTAATTATTTTGGGTTTTTTTGGGCACATTTCTTTAATCACATGAGTTGGGTAGTAGAGGCAGGCATATCTTTGAGTTCATGAGGTTTTTGTATTCTTTAATCTTTGTTGAACATTTAAAACTGTAGATGTAATTGTTTTCAGATTCTAAAATATTATCAATGAAAATAGTATACCAGAACTTTGTTTTAACAAAGGACAAGTCATTTTAAAAAAAATTAACGAATCAAGATGTATTTCATGTAGTTTTTTTAAGCTATTTCGTGTGTGCGCGTGTGTGTGTGTGTGTTTTCATGCATGAATGTATGTTGTGTGTGTACATTCAGATATGGTTAGTGTCTCCTTAATTGCTCTCCACCTTTAATTTTTGGGACAGGGTAAAGCTTATCAGTTTACCTAGACTGATTGCTCAGTGATCTTGAGAAATGTATCTGTCTCTGCCCAATACTTTTCTGTAAGCTTGGTGTCAGAGGCACATGCCACTATGCCTGGCTTATTACATGGGTTCTAGAGATTGTAACACAGGTCCTCATGCTTTCAAAGCAAGTACTTTACTGATTGAGCCATCTCCCCAGTCCTAATTTTTACCTACTTTTGAATCAGTGTGCAGAACAATTCTAAATGTTGTCTACTATTGAACTACTATTTTTTAAATCAAATTAAAACTACTATTCTTTAATTGTCGAACAGTTCATTCCTTTGTAGGTTTGCAACTTAATTGTTCTATTTTTCTACATTGTACAGCTGGCAGCCTGTTATTGACTACATTGATAGTAAATTTGAGGATTACTTAAATGCAGAATCTCGAGTGAACAGACGTCAGATGCCCGATAACAGGGTGCAGTGTTGTTTATACTTCATTGCTCCTTCAGGACATGGGTCAGTACCTTGATGCTTTGCTATTTTATTGTTTATATTGTGTATATTACTCATCTTGTGTGAATATTTTAGAAACATTGTGTCTGTGGAGTACATATAACTAGATCATTTATAACAGAACCTAATACCATGTTAAAGTGGATTGGAACAACTGGTTTAAGACCTAGGGTAGTCATTTTCATCTGCTTCATAAAAAGAAGTGTTTCCAATTTCCAGTCAGATTTTTAAGTATTTCTTTTAGCCATGCTTTTGTAAGAGGTCAAATTATCAAATTAAAAAGACAGCCATAGATGTTGAGATTATGGAGATCCTAAGAAACTCCAAGGTAACAACCTTTAAACAGGGAAACTTACCATAATCCAAACAGAAAAAGTGATAATAATTAAAACAAAGTGTAAGTGTTAGGTGCTTTCTTGGGTTGTTTCTTTCTAAATGTTTTGTCACACTTTAATGTGAAGATTACTGTATTTAGGTCAGAATTACCATCTTTTAGTAGTTCACACTGATCTTTTTGATTATAGCTAACCTCTTCTTTGAAAAGAAAACAAAAACTGTACTCTTCTATTTTGGGTAGGTAGTGTCATTATTAGCTATTAATATTTCCATTACTCTTCAGTCTTTTGGGGGGGGATAAATCACAACATAATCTAACTACCTAATCATTGTCTTTCTACCCACTCTTTACCAAAAGGAACTAGACTATTGTATGACATAAACTAAGTAGTGTTATCGCCCAGTACTCAAATTAGAGTAGTATAAACTCATTCTCTGGTTTTGGTCTCTTCTGCCTAGTATGATGCCCATTTTTCACTCTGGTAGAACAAGGAACTATATGTAATTACTATTTTTTGCAAGATTGAAAAGGATTCTTTTATGCTTAATATTGTGTAGTATTGTCAGAAGTTTATGCATTTATGTCACTAAGCTAGCACATCTATTTTACAGGACTAAAAAATAATAATAATTTAGAAATGAGATGTGCCAGCAGGCTTCGGTGGTTCATGTCGGCAGTCTCAGTATGGATTGCTGAAGCTAGGAGATTGCAAACTGAAGATCAGGCTAGGCTATGTCTTTTTTGATAGCAAGACCCTACCAAAAGAAAAAAAATTAAATAAAGGAAAAAATGGACTATGGTATAGCCCAGTTTAACGTTCTGTGTTCAATTCTCAGGAAAGCCAATTCTTCACCCTGAAACCAAAACCAAACCCCAAACCGTCACACACTGCATATACTGCTTTTTATGAGCACTTAGGTAGCTCTTGAGTTTATGCTTTTTGAAAAATCTTTCTAGTATAACGGTTTTTTCTTTTGCTTTATTGTTGTGGTTTTTTTTGTTGTTGTTGTTGTTGTTTGTTTTTGTTTTTGGGGGGACAGGGTTTCTCTGTGAAGCCATAATTGTCCTGGAACTCACTCAGTAGACCAGGCTGGCATTCAACTCACAGAGATGTGCCTGCCTCTGCCTCCTGAGTGCTGGAATTAAAGGCATGCTCTACTACCACCTGGCCCTAGTTTAACTTTATTAGCACAGTTTCGTAGAAGTCAGCCTAGTGATGCTATGTACAGTTAATAGAATCAGTGAATTTATAACAGATCCTTTAGGCTCTTTCCAAGAGTTAGTGATTCTCATGAAATTACATTCTTCTATCCTTTGGGGGTATTTTTTATTTCTAAAAATCACTTAGAAGTAAAGAGTTTTTTTAAGAGAAGAAATATGATTTAAATGATAAGTGTGACTTTAAGCCATTTCTTGCTTGTCATAAGGGAATATTTTTATTTCCTGTGCCTGTTCCTAAACAGTTGCTCAGCTTAATAACTTTTAAAGATGGAGCAGAATTTTCCCTGTTGATATATACTTAGTAGATTTGTTGAAAGAATGCGGTAGTGAATTTGATCTTGAATTACAAATGACCTACTCTCTATAGGCTGAAGTTACGTACAATCTGGTAAATGAATCAGGCTTTTCTCTCCATCCCTCGGTAGTCTTAGTACCTTCTACAGTCACCTGCTAATGTCATATCTAACTACTGGGTTAGATAAAATTTTGAGTGGGTATGGATTTGGTAATTTTTTTGTCCTAAATTATTGTATTCATGTTAGTCATACAGAATGTAAGGTTAAAAATGAAAGTGACCTAGCAGAGAATTCTGAGGAAATCGCATGCCTAACAGGCAAAGAGAATCCTAAGGATTCTAGAAGAACTGGTGAAGCAATCATATTTTAGATGCTGAATTCTGGGCAAATTAGTGATGCTAGGTACTATAGTGGAAGTCTTAGATGCCAGAGCCAAATTATAATAACAGAGAGGCATATTGAAAATTGACGTTTTAGCATTTTGTCTAAGAAAGATAATTGACAGCAAGAATTGCATATATAGAAAGAGGACTACTATTTTTTACAGGAAAAAACCCAACTACCTTGTTAACCTTAATAAATAAATATAAAGCTGATTCTAGGAAATTCTGCTAGGAACCTTTGTAGTTTTTTCAATTCCTCTTTTAGGGGCATAACCCAGTGACACGGGTGTTTCAAAGGCAAGAGTCAAAAAGCCTTCTTAACCACTCCATTGCTTCTTAAAGTCCTTCTTGTTCTGCCTGTTGGCTGACCCAGTACATTTTCAAAGTGTTTCTGATAAGTAAAGTAGCTTATTGCATTTAATGTGAAGAATCACTTCCTTCAAACAGATGTATTCAGTCATATTAAATACTGTATATTTCAGGCTTAAACCATTGGATATTGAATTTATGAAACGTTTGCATGAAAAAGTGAATATCATCCCACTAATTGCCAAAGCAGACACACTCACACCAGAGGAATGCCAACAGTTTAAAAAGCAGGTAAGGAAGAATGAATTAACTTTTGGATTTTCTAGCCATTTTAATCAATATGTTATTTTTAGTCTATTTATCTTCCATATTTTCTCTTGAATCTTTTGTTTGTATTACTTAATAAAATAAATGTTTAGAAAATAATACACACACACACACAAATATGAATTTAAGCTTCCTTCCCCAAACTCATGCCCTGTTATTGCAGTAGCAATCCCCCCACCCCCACCCCTTTTTTGGTTTTAGTTTTTTTCGTTTTGTTTGCTTTTTTCTTCTTTTGAGACAGTTTCTCTGTGTAGTTTTGGCTATCTGGAACTCTAAACTAGGCTGACCTCAAACTCACAGAGATCCACCTACCTTTCCTTCCCAAGTGCTAAGATTAAAGGCATATGCCACCTCTGCCAGGCTGTAATAATATTCTTAATGATACATTTTTTTCATTTTGTTGTATTCGGTTTTTTATATATGGAATTTATGAAATCTAAGTTAAATTTTTGAAAGTCTGTCTATTCCAATAGTCTTTTTAAATTTTTGATCAGTGTTTAAAAAAATGATTTTGTATTATATTTAAAATAAGCCTTATATTTTTGTTATCTTATTATCTTTGTAAGCTTCTGTGTAACAACATACCTTTTAAGACCTTTGAAATATGAATTTTAGAATACCTTAAAACTTGTTACAAAATGAACAATGTTCTTGAAGTGGTATTAAATTCATACAAATTTTGGCATCTTTAGACAGCTTTTACTACCAATATTTTCATCACAGGTATATGTTTTTCCTCTTCTTTTTCTTCATCTTTCTATTCATTCTCTTCTTTTTCATCTTTCCTCATTTATTTCTTTGCCCCTTTTCCTCCTCCTTTTCTTCTTTTGTCTTATTTCTCCATTGTTGTAATTTGAGATGGGGTCACTATAGCCAGACTGGACTCCACGTTGAGGCAATTCTATCTTTGCCTCTTAAATTTCTGCCTTGAATAGTCTATAACTCTATATTGATACTGATTTATTCTGAGAAGTTAGATGTTGAAAGGATACATTAGTATTAGTAATGATTTCTTCTTTAAGATTGGTCATGTGCCTACTGCCCTTCCCCTGCCCCCATCCCCCATCCTTTTTCTTTCGTTTCACCCAGCATTGAACTCAAGGCCTTTGGTATATGTACTTTAACTCTGTACTGTGCTTCTAGGCTCGTTTCTTTTCTTTATGCTTAGAGCCATATTTCTTACTCAGGAAATGATTTGGAATTTTTCAAAACAATTGTTAGGCATTAGTTGGGAAGTTGGGGCTTTAGCATTTATTTTGAAAATGCTCATTTACATAATTTTAGTGTTTAACTTTTGACTAAGGATCACTGCTGCAATTTTTCATAGTTGGACTTTCTTTGTTGTCCACTTTCTCCCAAATAATGAAATGGACACCTATTATTAAGTATGAAAGCTTGGCCTTAGCTTAGGCTTGTTCCTAACTAGCTCTTAACTTAAATTAACTCGTTGATATTAATCTACGTTTTGCCACATGGCTTGTTACCTCTCCTTAGTAGAGTCCGTCTTACTTATTTGTTGCCTGTGGCAAAAGGTATTTTCATTTTTTTTTTTTTGTGTGTGTGTGGGATGGTATTTTCATTTTTATTCTTCAAGACAGGAGTCTCACTGTGTGGCTCGTGGCTTGGAACTTATTATTTAGACCAAGATGACTTCATGAACTCACAGAGATCAACCTGCCTTCTGAGTGCTGAGATTAATGGTTTGTGCCACCTTGCCCAGCCATTGATTTATTTTTAGGGTAGATAGATGCCCAATGTTAAAGGCATGGTCCTATTGATGGCCATTGATAACTTGTTCTTTTTTGAGCTAGGTCTTCACTCTTCAGCCTAGGCTAGCAAAGAACTGTCAGTCCTCTGGCCTCAGCTTTCCAAGTGTTCGGATTACAGGTGTCTACTACACTATGCAGGGATTACTCCTGTTTATTTCTGTTTAGCATAGTAATCATATAACTCATTTTGTTTACAGCCTCTATATGGCTGTTGGAGTCTTTTGTTGTGAGCACAGTAGTACAAGTTACAAGGGGAGGGTTGTTTTGGGAGTTTGAATTGTATAGGTAGGTGACTGTTAGTTGGACATCTGTATTTTCCCTTGTGAATTTAAAATCCTCTTAGACAAGGTAATTTAATTTGAAATAGATAATTTCTGTTATTATTAAGTCTTGGTTCTTTACTTCTAGTGTGTATTTTCTCCTAACTTGCTTGTCTAGCCTTTGATTTATGTGTGTATGCTTGTTCATGCAATAACTTTTTCTGTTAGAGTGTATACCTTTCTCCTAGGACTAATGTTGTAATTTTTTTATTTACCCTTTTCTATTATTTTTAGGTGGCTTTAAGCTATGTTGCTTAGGTTTTATAGTAAGTTATATCAAGAGAAAGAATCACATTCATTTTAAACGAATGATCAAAAACCATTATAGTAGATAGCGACCACCTGGATAAATGCCATTCTAGAATAAATATTCTTTCATTTGTAGAATTATTTTTGGATGATAACCATAAGATTGACACTTCTGAAGTAATTGAATTTAAAAATATTTTAAATTTCATTTTGCTGTGTGCGTGTGTGCACGAGAGTGAAGGGAAGATGGTGCATATGCCACGTCATACTTGTAGATGTTGGAGGATAATTTTGTAGAGTTGTTTTTTTTTTTTTTCTTTCTCCTTCTATGTTTATAAATCTCCCAGACTTTCATGGCAAGCGTCTTTACCTTCTCTCCCTGATCTTCAGTAATAGGTTTTGGTATTTAAATATGAACAACAAATGACCAGAAAATGAGGTGTCTCATGAAAATCCAAGAAAAAGGAAAAATAACTGCGTATGTCATAATTATATGTGGTGTCCTTTCCCTGCTTCTGTTGTAGATAATGAAAGAAATCCAAGAACATAAAATTAAAATTTATGAATTTCCAGAAACAGATGATGAAGAAGAGAATAAGCTGGTTAAGAAGATAAAGGTAGGTTTGTTTCCATGCACAGTGAAGTATTTGGGCCTTCAAATTATACTCTAATATAAAAAAAAAAAACCAGAAGTTTCACTTTTAAAGTACTTGGCTTACAAAAACAAATACTGATATTTCTTAATGTTTATCAACTTTACAGTTACCTTTGAATAGCAACACATAGCATAGGGCATTGCATGGAGTAGGTGGGAGACTACCATCACATTCAGTTAACTGGTTTCAAGTTTATGTTTTTTTTCTCCTTAAGAAACAAATATGAAGCTGGGCAGTGGTGGCGCATACCTTTAATCCCAGCACTCGGGAGGCAGAGGCAGGCCTCGTCTACAAGAGCTAGTTTCCAGGACAGCCTCCAAAGCTACAGAGAAACCTTGTCTTGAAAAAACAACAACAAAACAAAACAAAGACACAAATATGAGCAGGAAAGAGATTTTTGTGTGTTTTGATCTCTCAGGAGCCTGATAAAACTGTTGTTTCATTTGTCTTTTCATAAAAGTCAACAAAAACTCTACATCATTTTAATTTTTTTGTTGTTGTTGTGCGTTTTCCTGTGTGTGTGCCCCTGCAAGGTTTCTCTGTGTAGCCCTGGCTGTCCTGGAATTTGCTTTGTAGACGAAGGTGGCCCTCAACCCACCTGCCTCTTGTCTCCCAGGTGCTGAGATTAAAGGTGTGCACCATCATGCATGGTATTAAAGTTTGTGTGCTTTAATTTAATTTAAAATAGTTTTTGAGTACCTGGAGCTAAAGTGGTTTAGTGAATACTGGTCTAATTACTGTATAATTGATAAAATATTCATATCTGACATATTTTAGAGGTTTTGCAGAATAGCTTCTATAATTCTGGTAGCTATGAAAATATCGAAAAGTTAAACTCTGCATTAAAAATAAGTGAATACAGATCCAAAAGTGGGTTTGAGGTTCTGCAGTTATAGTTTAGAAAACAGAATGTTTCCTGCACCTTATAGTGTTAAGGTTAATGATCAGGTAGATTCATGGCCTTATTTTTGTTTTGTCTTCTAAATATCAATTTATTTTATATTCTATGTCTCCCCAGTTTTTAGAGTAATTTTTAACAACTAATTTGACCAGTGCATATGATATTATTCTTAAAATTTTAACAAAAATGAAATTTTATTCATTGTTTACCTTGGTAGTATACCGTTTGAATAACAATTTCTAGGCCGGATGTGGTAGTACACGCCTTTAATCCCAGCACTTGAGACTGAGGCAGAGACTATGTGAGTTCAACACAAGCCTAGTCTACAACCAGTGCTACACAGAAAAACTGTGTCTTGAAAAACCCAAAATTTCCTGAATATTTATTGCTTGACTGATAATATAGGTACTACCCAAGCAAATTTTTGGTAATATGTTGACTCTTGTAAATTATTTATAATTGAGTCATGAGTACTGTAGAGATCTGTTTACAATAACACTTTATTTTATAGGATCGTTTACCTCTTGCTGTGGTAGGTAGTAATACTATCATCGAAGTTAATGGCAAAAGAGTCAGAGGAAGACAGTATCCTTGGGGTGTGGCTGAAGGTAAGGTTCTTTTCAGTGGATAACTTAATGTAAGGTCTCATAAAGGTGCTAAAATTTGTATTATAAGTAGTATAAAATATGCGGAGTATGGTACACTCTGAGTTTTCAAGAATAGCTTTTATTTCATTTCCCTAGTCTTTGTTTTCTTCTTAAAGATATTTCTGTTTTTCAGATATGTTTCCTAAATCAGATCAAATCCTCAAGTTGTAATACTTCACAGTCAGTTGCCATTGACCACTTGACTGTGCCTGCACCTCTGTCAAGCCAGTATCTGTCTCTTTTGAAAACGAGCTTTGTAGTTCAGGGGTTTTCCCCTGACTTACGGTTATTTCCTAGGACCTTACAAATGTTTGGAAACTGAGCAGTTTGGAGAGAGCCAGCCACAATCATATAACCAGTGCCTCTTCTTTCCTCAAAGAGGAGGTCACCTTTTTAGTTAATTTACTAGTTTGTTGGTTTTCAATGCCAATAAACTCTTAGTGATGACACCAAACCCTAGATACCATATTAGCAATAGAAATATTTCTGAGTTTGTATTCATTATATTAGTTTACTATTTAATCTATATTGTACTAAGTTGGAGTTGCTGTTTGTTCTGTGCGTTGAAGTAATTGCACAATATTTATAAAATCATGCCAAGTTACTGTCTTTATCTATGGTTTTTGCCCACGGACCATCAACTTTGTTCCCAGGAAACCTGCAATTACCAATTTAGGGCTTTAGAACTTTATATCCTTTAGAAATATGCTCTGAAGCAATTACTTTATTTATATATTATTATTATTATTCCCACTTCCTTGCTATCCCCATTTAGTGTTTTTTTGTTGTTGTTGTTTTTGTTTTTTTAATAATGAATCTTAGAGCTCTTGATTAGCCTTTCATTTTGATTGTCCTAAGGAGGTTTTTAATATTTTCAACCACAACATGAAGGTTTTTTGTTTTTGCCTTATTGTTTTGGTGTTTTTGTTTTTCAGGCAGGTGTCTGTGTGTGTGTGTGTGTGTGTGTCCCTTGCTGTCCTGGAACTCGCTTTGTAGACCAATTTGGCCTCCAACTCATGCCTTGCTTCTGCCTCCTGAGTGCTGGGGTTAAAGGCATGTGCCACTGCCACTTCCCAGCTAAGGTTTTTTGTTTGTTTGTTTGTTTTGTTTTTTTTTTAAATATATCATATGATGAATGTGTTCTGTACTAATAAGCAGAAAGTGCCTCTTCTTTCAAATTACCAGTGTTTATTTCCAGAGAGTTCATTCATTATATGGCTGTCATCTAGGATTAAGCTACATGAAGAAGTGCTAAGGAGGTGGCTTAGTGGATAAAATGTTCAGTGGGGTCCTGCCTCTGTAAATAAATTGAGAGTGGAGGAAACAGCTGTTGTCAACCTTTTCTTCACAATATGTGCACATGCACCACATATATATGACACACACATACAAAGAAAAGTAGTGTGTTTAAAATGCCACAGCATTAGTATTAGGGTACATTTGCCTATTGTTCCTTGGGGGTCTGTGTTAGTATTAAACCTTAATAAAATTCTCATGTAGGGATTTTAAATATTTTCTCCTTGATATTATTTTTTTTATTTCTATGAAAAGATAAATTTTATTAAAGTTAATATGTGTGCTCTATTTTCTCTTCCTTTTCTATAGTTGAAAATGGTGAACATTGTGATTTTACAATTCTAAGAAATATGTTGATAAGGTAAGTGTGAGCAACAATGAAAATAGCAAAGTTTTTTTTTTTAATCACCTAAAGAAAGTTTCTTTGGAAGACTTATTTTGTGCCTCTGTAAGTGGAACTACTATATATTGGCATCTTCAGTCTCCTGTTGAAGTATAATAATGCATGACAATGATTTATATTATTTATCTAAGGTTTTGAAGTCATTAGCAAAAATATTAAGTGAGGAATACAAAGAAATACTAGTCTTATACTTTTTTGTCAACAGTCCTTTTTGAAAAAACTTTTGTTTATTCTTCTCTTGTACAATAAATTCCTACTGCAGCTTCCTCTCCCTCCATCCCTCCCCGTTCCCTTCCAAGCCCACTTTTCCCCCATTTACCCCCATCACTCCACTCTTCCCCCAGACAAGAGCAGACTTCCCAGAGACATCAACTGAACATGGTACAAGATACAGTAATACTAGTTCCAAAAGCTCACATTAAGGCAAGACCAAAGGTCTCCAGTAGGAGGAAACGGGTCCCCAAAGCAAGTAAACAGTCAGAGATACTCCCACTGACAGAGAACCCCCCCCCCCCCCCAAAAAAATACAAACCACCAAGCCAACAACTATAACATATATGCAGAGGACATAGCTCAGATCCATGGGGGCTCTTTGTCTTTTGATTATTCGATTTTCTTTTCCCATGGGGGCTCTTTGATTGCCACTTTAGTCTCTGTGATCTCTCATGAGCCCTGCTTATTTGCTTTCATGGGCTGTGCTCTGCTGGGGTTCTCTTCCTTTGGGGTTCTCTACCTTCTGGTTCCACAATTCCTCATCCGCCTTTCTGTGGTGTTCCCCTGAGCCTCAAGGGGAGGGTCCCAGTGTAGACCTCCAACCTGGGATCTCTCTCCACCTAGTGTTTGACTGTGGGTATCTGCATCCGTTCCCATCAGCTACTGGAAGCAACCTCTCTGATTGCAACTGTAGTTTCATATTTTCAATATTATACTTCATGTTGGATTTAATTCAGTAATAGATTTGGAAAATAGGTTAGAAAAGGCTCTAGTCAAAAGAAATACTTTTGAGTGTTTATAAGGTACACAGGTTAGTAGCTGGTAAATGGAGCAATTTAACATACTGGAACTTTATAAGCAAAACCAATCTTCCTACTAGTTCTTTAAACTACTTTTCCTGGTACTGAAAGAGAAGGAAAGTTAAGAGAGTAGGATTGAGAATATTTTGATTAGAGAAACCCAAGGACTTGAATAGTAGCCACAGAGAGGAAATTGTGAAAAAGTATAGTGGAACTAGAGAAAATAGGAACAGAGAGGTGGTCAAAATGAGTGTTTTCATGTTAATCTGTATTACATCTCTTTCTTTTCCTTCTATTTCTAGTTTTCCTCTTTTATCTTGTTTTCTCCAAGCCCCTGCCATGTGCTGTCTTCAAGCCTTGGTTTGGGATGTAACCTGAAGTTGATGTATTTATATTCACAGTACTGTTCATTTTTCTCAGTACATAGGAATCTCATTTGCACTATAGAAATTGTAACACATTTATGAATGCTAATTGGAAATCATGGAATAGCAAGGTAATTACCATAATGAAAGGGGGCATGATTCACAAAACTCAGAGTGCTCCCTCAGAAGCTAGATAATCAATGAGAGAAAGTTTGACATCAAAGACTTTAGCATCTTTTCCAAGAGAACACATGTCCAGGGTTCTCTGGCAGGAAGTAGATGATAAAGTGAAGGTAATAAATGGGTTTACTTCACATTGTAAGAACATATCAAGTGTGTGAGAATGGAAAGCCTTCACAGCAGTTTTGAGAGTACATGCTTTAGGTTCTGTTGCCAATTGTTCTCTTTCATTTTGATCCTTATGGAGAAATTTCCAAAGAATATAGTACCTCAGGAGGGCATGGTGGTACACTACCTTTTATCTCAGTGCTCGGTAGGCAGAGGCAGATGGACATCTGTGAGTTGGGGGACAACCTACTTACATGGTGCGTTCCAAACCACCCAAGGCTACATCCCATGATCCTGTCTCAAAACAAACAAACACAATGTCTCATGACAGCATATAAGGACTATTTAAATACATCATTGTGCTCCATCTGGATTTTAAATCTATGCTTCTCACTGTCATATCACTTTTTCTTATGTATTTTATATATATATATAAAACCAGTAATTACCTACATATCTAAAACATTGTAGAAGGGGCTCAAAAGCCACTTTGAATGTTCATAGCCTCACAACTGGTAAGGAGAACTTCTTCATATAAGTATTGCAGAGGAAATTGACCAACTTGCAGGAGGATTTAATAAGTGCATCAGCAAGACATCTCATGCTTGTCTGAAAATATAAATTCTAGCATTGGGCTCAAGAGATGGCTCAGTGATCTAGAGCATTGGCTGATCTTCCTAAGGACGTGGGTTCCGTTCTTAGCACCAACATGATGGCTCACAACTCTAACTCCAGTGCCAGGGAATCCAGTACACTGCTCTGCCTGCCACAGGTAATGGCCACACAAGTGATGCATAGTCCCACATGTGGACAACACACCCATATACATAAAATAAAAATCAAATTTCTAGTTTTATTTGCTGTAAGAAGGATAAGTGTTTCATGTAACTTCTAAGACAAAGGCACCTACTGTTGTCTAATAAATATTTGAAGGAAGGAAATGTCAATGTCAGTCTAAATCTCAAGTAATTATCTTACAGGCCAACATTAAGACTTATACTTGCTTCTAGGAAAGGTAAATTCAAAGAAGTGTCATTTTGCTAAGAACTGACTGCTGTTGGCAAACCAAGGGAAGCATCTGAAGAAGAAAGATGAAACACTGTTTTGAAGGTGTAGGAGTGAATGGTACAGAAATCACGTAGAAAAAAAGAAAAGGAGAGAAGAGAGCAGTGATCAGCAGTGAAAACCTAGAAACTAGAGAAAATTTCTATTGAGTTTTCAGATGGAGGAATGGATTACAAAAAGAAAACACGGATAGAAGTAAATGCAGCTTTATACTCAGCCTCTAAACTTCAGAATAAGACAATCACAGAAAAAAAAAGACAGTCACAGAGTAGTAGTTTAGTGAAGTAGGGGATTGCTATGCTAAATGATACTTTAAATAGATGGAGTTTAGCAATATCTTATTTCTATTTATAAATTTACTTTGCTATAATGTTTCTTAATGATGTAGTGATTAAATGAGTATTAAAATATATAAAATACTGTTTTTTTTTGCCTTTGGTTTTTAATTTTGGTGTAGTTTTAGGTAATGTCTTTGAACTCTGGCCTGGCTTTGAACTCTCTGTGTAGCTAAGGCTGGCCTGTTGATCTCATCCTGCTCCTTCTATTTCCTAAGTGTTTGAAGTATAGGTGTGCATCACCACATCCTGCTAACAATACTGTTTCATGTTAGCATTGTACAATTATCTTTATTCTTTATCTGGAGAATTTCACATAGTGATTCCTTCTTAAATACCATTTATCTTATCTTCTGTATGCAATTGTTACATTGTTTAAAGTTCCAGCACCCAGGAGGCAGAGGCAGGTGGATCTCTGAGTTTGAGGCCAGCCTGATCTACAGTGTGAGTTCCAGGACAGCCAGAGCTACATGGAAAAAACAAGCAAAAGATTTTTTAGTTGGTTCTATAGTTGATACATAACTTAATCTGTTGTTTTAAAGGTCCTTATATAAATTAACCTGTGAAAACTCAATATTACCTTGTTAATAATTGTACAAAGGAAAACAGTTTCTGCTAGATTATGAGCTCCAATAGTAAATCCACTTTTCATTCTCAATTAAGTTAAACTAGTGGCAATGACTGTTTCTTTGGTAGAAAGTTTATTCAGTAGTTTGAGTGATTCAGGGCTCTTGAATTTGGAACCTAAACCTGTTTGTTTTAATCTGCTTTGTTTGTAAATGAAGACATATGAATGACCAATATTTTGTCTGAAATTTTGTCTTGGTGAAGTTTTTAATTGTGCCTTTGACATGAGCAAACTCTTGCTGTTTATGACAGAACACACATGCAGGATTTGAAAGACGTTACTAATAATGTGCACTATGAGAACTACAGAAGCAGAAAGCTAGCCGCAGTGACTTACAATGGCGTGGATAACAACAAGAATAAAGGGCAACTTACTAAGTACGTATATATATATACCTGAATATGTATATATTTCTCTACAGAAAAAATGTTTACATGATAAATATTCCATTTCCTATCTTGAAATTCTTGTTACATTAGGAGATTTGAGTTATATTCTCTGTAATAGCAGAAAATTTTACTGTTAAGTTTTGTCTTGATAGTTTTATGCTTTACCTGTAATTGTTGGAATGGTTATTTTTCTGTTGTTCTTTTAAATAAAGAACAGTATGTTTCTTGTCTTTTGCCATTCATATTTATAATTCATACAGCATAAAACAAAACAGATAAATACATATTTTGAAGAGAAAGTTACAAGCAATTTCTTGGGCTAATAAGATGGCTCAACTGGTAAGGGCACTTTGGGGTGTCTTTTGGTATGTGGTTGATTTATTATGACACATAGATTTATTATTAGTTTTGAATGCTCTGCCTAGTTTAGGCAAATTTCTGGTTAGCTCATTTAATTTAATCTGTTTCTCTTTATCTACCTATTGCCTTGGCTTTTTACCTTTTCTTATTTTCTTCTTGTTTCTGTGTCTGGCTGGCTAATGGCTGCCACAGTGGGTTGGGCTTCCCTTATCAATCACTAATTAAGAAAATGACCTATGGACTTGCTTACTGCCCAGTCTTATGTAGACATTTTCTCAACTGAGGCTTCGTCCTCTCAGGTAGCTCTAACTTATATGTAGTTAGAGAAAAAACTAGCCAGGGCAATTGTCTTTAGGACTGAGGTACACAAGATTTAGAGAAGCGCCTTCCTAACAGTTTTATTTTAGACTCTGCTTCATAGCAATCATTTGATATTTAGATGAACACCTGTTAACCTCTATGGTTATAAGCACATTTATATATTTTACAGTTTCTAAAGGATTCTTTACCCATCTGTGTTACATAAGATTTGGAATTTATGTCAAAATGATGCAAATATTTTTATTCAGCCTAATGTTAATGGCATCTATAGCATCTCATTTGTTTTATCAGCTCATTCAGAATGTAGTATTACAATTTTCTTTTTTAGACCTTAATGTTTTTTCTTAATTGTTGGTAACAGGAGCCCTCTGGCACAGATGGAAGAAGAAAGAAGGGAACATGTAGCCAAGATGAAGAAGATGGAGATGGAAATGGAACAGGTGTTTGAGATGAAGGTCAAAGAAAAAGTTCAAAAACTGAAGGACTCTGAAGCAGAGGTAATCAGTTTTATTAACAGGCTGTCAGTATTTCTTTTAAATTGTATGTTTATTGAAATGTAAATTACATCTATACATTTTCAAAAATAGTTTAATATACTAGTAAAATAAAGTAGAGGAATAAAAGTACTATTTTTATTATAAAATTACATATTTCAATATGTAAGGGCTTAGATACAGTATACTGAGTAGGAGGACAAAATATTAAATAGTTAAAATACCTACAATAAATTACTAGTTATAACGAACAATAAGAAACACAATTATAAGTCATTTTCTAAACAAATTAGCATTTTTATCACCTGCCTGTAAATGCCAGTAATTGGTGCCCTTCTTGGGGAGGGACTTGTGAAGAAAGTTGGGCTGAGTTTCCTTTCCCAAATGCCTGCCTATTGAATGTGTCTATTCCTCTTATTTCATAGAGCCCCACTCCAGTATGCTTACCAACATCCCTAAGATAGTTTGTAAACCCTTTTATTTACATGTATAAACATACATATTATATACAAATAAATCATAGAAACCTTTTCATCTTTTATTTTTGAACCTATTCTGCTGCAATTACTTGACATAACTGCTAATATCTTCAACATCATCGTACGTCATAGGCAATACCAAGTTTCTGATGTATTTTGTCACTTAGTCCATGCTGTGGACATATAAGATAGATATTACTGCCTATCCTCACTTATCTACATGAGAGAAAGGATAAAATATATTAGTCAACGCTACAGCTGTATAAGCCAGCATAAAGACAATATGTGTATGTGTTTTGATTATGGTTGCTGCCCTAGATAACTTCAGAAGGTATATTTTAAGTTATAATTTATATCCTTTTATAAGATTTAGTTATTATTTGTGTGTGGGTAAATGCATATAGTGGCACTGGTATGGAGCTTAGAAGACAACATGTGGGAGCCAGTTCTTTCCTCCTACCACGTGGAGTCTGGGGATTAAACTCAGCCCCCTTTACCACCTAAGGATCTGTCTTTCAGGCCTGTTGCTTCTTTAATACTTGAAAGATTTTCTACTTCTCAATACAGCTAACTGATTGTCATCTATGCTTTTACTTACAAAATATTCATTTGTAAAATAATTGTAAGTATTACTTACTTGTAAAGAGTAAACAGCTGTGAGCCTACTTCGCCCAGCTTAAAAAAATATAACTCTATGAATTCATTTCAGTTCTGTGTGTCCTTGTCTTTATGTCTTCTCTCTTTCTTAGAGGAAATTACTATTTTGAATTGTGTGTATGTGATTGCTTTGTATTTGTTTATGCCAACTATGGTACAAAATTTACAGTCTCTTTTGTTCCGTTTTTCATAGTAAATTGCTATCATGGAGAAGCTTTCACCTCAGATTTTACAGACCTTAGAATAAGTGTGATTTCCTTTTATAGGAATTAGATGAAATCTTTGCAGTAGTATTTTTAAAATTTTTTTTTGGGGGGGGTTCACAAAATAAAACAGATTGTACGGAAAGTTATATTAAACTTCAAATTCAAGGTATTAATTTACCAATAAATCTTTAGTGCATATAATTCTGGGGCAACTGCATAATCTCAACAGTCATTCAGCATCTGGTGTAGTGTGACTCAATCTGCTTTTTTTTTCTTCTATTTTTTTTCTCCCTTTTTTTTTCTTTTTCTTTTTAATAGTTGATTGTTTTCTTCAGGAATAGATTGGCTAGTGCTGCAATGGAGTTACTTTTCTGATTATTCATTAGATGTCAAGTTTTTGTTTCTGTAATTAACACCTATCAGCCGGCAATTCTTTACAGCATTAGTTCTTAGCCTTGGAAGGATCATGAGCATAGGATCATTGGGACCTGCCTCTTGAAAGTCATGATCTCTCCATGTAACATCTGAAGGTTCTAATCCAGTGGATCTAGATTATGCCTTAGGATTCTGTATTTTTAGCAAGCACCACAGGTAAAATTTGTATCAAGAATAATGTTTGGGAGCCACTCCTTTCCAGGGACTATGGGGCATTATCCACTACCAGGATCATTAGAACTTACAGGTCCTTCGTTAACTACTTCCTCTAGCTGCTGGTTTAGACCTCTGAACCTGGAACTAGGAGATTTGGGATTATGTACTCCATATTGTCACCCTCAGATTTGTAGTCCCCAGCTGTTTCCTCGTCTGTTCAACCTCCATTACACTTGTGAATTAGAAAAGATGATGAGAAAACAGTCATCTGTTATAAAATATACACAAATATAAGTTTGTTACATTTATTTTAAAAAGTGGTTATTTTCTGTTTTCCTTTCTGGAGACGCTTGGGTGGCAGATTCTGCAATGGGAGGAATCTCAGCAGTGCTTGCTAAGAGGCACCCTGGCATTGTGACACTGGTGTACACACTTGGCACTAGACTGTCTGTCCTAAATTTATTAAGCAGTTGTTTCATCTATGATTCCGATTAGCTTCAGCGGCGTCATGAACAAATGAAAAAGAATTTAGAAGCACAACACAAAGAATTAGAGGAAAAACGTCGCCAGTTTGAAGAAGAGAAGGCAAACTGGGAAGCTCAACAACGCATTTTAGAGCAGCAAAACTCTTCAAGGTAACTAATATCAGGATGCCTAAATGGATGTATCGATATTTTAAAGAACTTTTATCTATTTTTGAAATTAAAAGTCCATAGGCTATTATACATCTCTGTTTTAGTTAGGCTTCTATTAATGTAGTAAAGCACCATGACCAACTTTGAAGAGAAGGAGTTTATTTTGGGGCTTACAGTTTTAAAGTGCTAGTTATGGCCCATGACCCTCATGACAAGAGCATGGATGGCAGCAGGCAGGTATGGTGCTGGAGCAGTAGCTGAGAGCAGAGGCATCATATCTCATAGATGGTTGTGAGCTACCCTGTAGTTGCTGGGAATTTAACTCGGGCTCTGGAAGAGCAGCCAGTGTTCTTTATCTCTGAGCCATCTTTTTAGCCCAACACACCTCTTTTTAACAAGGCCGCTTCACCTAATCCTTCTCAAGTGGTTCACTAACTAGGTGCCAACTATTCAAATAAAAATGTGAGCCTCTACGGGCATTCTCATTAAAACCATTACAATCCCCAAGCAGAGTTGTTTTCATGGATAAATGTTTTTAAATGAATAGGTTCATTTGGTGTACTGTAATAGTATTTTCACCTCCTCAACTCAAGTGTTGGATATGATGTTTCCAGGTGTTGGGATTAAACCTGATGTCTTGCAAATACTAGGCAGAATCTGTGCTTCCTATCCCTTAGGAGATGCTTTAGTTATATCTTTAGAATAAATTCTTTAAGGTAAATATGACACATATAATTTGTAATACTGCTAATTATCTCGATATGTATAAAATTCAATATTGTTTAGAGATTAGTTTTCTTTTTTTGATTAGTGTCATTTAAAATTGAAAATGTGTTCCCTGACCTGTGGGAAGCCCAAGGACTGCCCACCTCTATCCAGCAGATGAGGGGGGGGGACTTGATCGGGGGAGGGGGAGGGAAATGGGAAGCGGTTGTGGGGACGAGGCAGAAATCCTTAATAAATAAATAAATTTAAAAAAAAATAAAATAAAATTGAAAATGTGAAGTCCCTTTAAGGAGTCTCTGATTCATTTTCCTAGTGAGGCCCTTTCATACTTAACCATTGTTGTAGTACCTTCCTATGAACGTTTCTTTCCAAAGAAGAAAACACGTTTGTCAAAGCAGATATAAAGAATGCAGCTGACAGTAAAAAAGGCACCAGAGTTGATCTTTTAAATTTTCTACAATTGAATTTTAGAAAAAAATCTTCTGTAAATTAAAATGAGTAAAATGGAGCTTCACTCTGTCTTTTACTACTTGTTTTGGAATTTTGTCAAACATTTGATTGTCTAAGAAAATACTTTCTATGTGATAACAGTGGTTCACTGTTTATTTTTAAATGTTTTAGATTTTTTTTACAGTGAAAATGTATTTTTTGAAATTCCAACATAGTTGTATTTGGATTAGCTGTTTCTGCCATTTGTTACTTTTGGCTTTTATAATATAGCAACTCATCTTCGTTATTTTCTTTTTTCATTTAGAACCTTGGAAAAGAACAAGAAGAAAGGCAAGATCTTTTAAACTCTATTGACCACCAGTTATGTATTAGTTGCCAATATGCCAGCTTGGACATCAGTGTTTGTTGGATCCGTTTGACCAATTTGCACCAATTTTATCCATAATGATGGATTTAACAGCATGAAAAAAATTATTTTTTTGTTGTTGTTCTCGAAGGAGATTAAGATGCCTTGAATTGTCTAGGATTTTGTGTACTTAGAAATTAACAGCTCTGAGTACCTTTCTACATTTTCTTTTTTTCTTTTTTTAAATTAAAAAGATGTCTTCAGTTTAATGCAAGAAAACATTTTACTGTTGTACAATCATGTTCTGGTGGGTTGATTGTTTACAGAATATTCTAAAAGGACTCTGGAAGGTTTTCATTGAGGATAAATTGCCATAATATGATGCAAACTATGCTTCTCTATGATAATTATAATACAGAGGTTCCATTCGATGCAGCCTATACAATAATGTATTTAGTCTAACACAGTGGACCCTATTTTTTGACACTTCCATTGTTTAAAAGTACACATGGAAAAAACCTATATGCTTACAGTGCACCTAGAGCTTTTTATAACAGCCTTTTTTGTTGTTTGTTTGTTTTGGATTCTTTAAATATATATATATATTATTCTCATTTAGTGCCCCTTTAGCCAGAATCTCATTACTGCTTCATTTTTGTAATAACATTTAATTTAGATATTTTCCACATATTGGCCCTGCTAAAATAGAATATAGCATCTTTCATATGGTAGGAACCAACGAGGAAACTTTCCTTTAATTTCCTTTTTACACTTTCTGGTAAGTAGCAGGAGGAAAAATGCATTTGTAGATCATTTCTAGGCAAATTGTGAAGCTAACGACCAACCTGTTTCTACCTATACTCAGTCTTTTGTTTTACTAGAAATGGGAATCATGGCCTCTCGAAGAGAAAAAAAGTCACCATTCTGCATTTAGCTGTATCCATATATTGCATACATGTATTTTTTGTTTGTATTGTAAAAAAAATTCACATAATAAACAATGTTGTGATGTAACAAAGTGCGGTGTCTTGCATATTCTGTAGTACACTGACAGGTTGGGCAGAGCCTTGAATTCCCTCCGAGGGTCTGCTGCGTGACCATCTTGGTAGCATGTGTATGCGCCAGTTCTTGAGCCAGCACCCTCTGCTGTTACTGCTGCGCATTAGTAAGTTACCTCTGAAAGTGTTTTCCCACTCAGGTTTGGACTGTGTGTAGTCTAGAAACTTCCAGAAACTGTTGGATTTTTTTTCTTTTTTCAAAGGAGTATAGTGTAGTTTTTTATTAAAGTCAAAATAGCTTTTTAAATTAATGACCAAAGCCTAAATAAATGATCATTCTAATTAATGTGGTTTTTACTTAATTCAGAGCCTGAAAGACTGGTCAGAATGTTTGAAAGATGCTTACTGCTTTTCAGAAATACTTAGTTCTGAATTTTAAAATAATAATTAGAAATATTACTTGTTATGGTTTTTGTCTCTTTAAGAGACAAGCCACACCCACTCCAGACGACCCCTAGACCCCCCCCCTTAGATTCTGTCTGTCTGTCTGTCCCCTCTTGGCACGCATGTCTCTCTTCTCTCTCGGGCCCTTCTCTGTCTCTCCTTTCTCTTCTCCTTCCCCCACACTCCTCTCTCTCTCTCTCTCTCTTTCTCTCTCTCTCTCCTAAGTAGTAAATATTCAGTTCTGTTCTGTACGATGTGTCTGCCCATGTCCCTGCTCACACCTGCTCACCGCATGGCGGGAATACACCGCTCTTGGGCTCACAGCTGCTCTGTGGGGGATCTTGAAGCATTTTTAAAACTACTCATATTAAAGAATTATTACATAAAAATTCACTCCAAGGTGGCTATTTTAAAAGTAGAACTTTAAAAGCATTTAACCACTATTTAGGAAAACCCAATTGTCATTTACTTTTAGGAGATGGCCTTCGTCAATTTGAAATTACCTTATGTGCTTTGTTTTAAATACTAAAATACCATCTGATTTTGGAAAACTGTAGCTTTTTAAAAATATGATATCTGCTCTGGTGACACAGATCCATATCCCAGCTTTGAGGAAGCAGAGGTAGGGTTACCGCTGCAAGTGTGAGGTTAGCCTGGGCTACATGATGAGTTCCAGGTCAGCCTGGGCTAAGAGTGAGACTTTGTCCAAAATAAGTAAATAAATTTAAAAGAAATTGCAATATGTATTATAAAATAAAATAACTATGGTAAGGAAATTTTTGGATGTCTTTTTGGTTGATTGCCTTTTTCCTAGTGCTGTGTTAAGAGACTAATGTTTCTTTTCAGAAAGGTTTATTAAGAAATTAATAAGTTTGAAGAATAGGAAATGAAAATATTGAGGTCTCCTGCCTAAATACTATTGTTTCTGCAAGCAGTTGTCATGTAGTCTGTGTGTTATTGATAGGACTTCCTTCAATTTACCACTTTTAATGAAAGCAAATGAAAGTCTTTTCTATGGCCGGCCTTTCACTGAGTCATATAAAGTAGCTGTGGAGGTTTACTGGGTTTTTGAACATTAATTTTTTGATTTTAAGCACAGTGACTACTGTTTTGCCATGTGATTTGTGTTTGTCTGATTTCTGACTTTCTGCTTGCTATCCAGTGGGCTTGACCAGGCTGGTGTTGATCACATGGGAGTGCCTAAACTTCTGGTAGTAGGATTTTACTGCCACCTAGTGGAGGTGGATCTAATTGATTCTCTTTCCTCTGTAGCTCAGATTGCAATCCTGAAAGCTAGAAAGGGGTTGGGGTTTTGCCTCTCAGGCTCATCTAGGAGTGAAAGTCAGCTGGAGAAAGGAAAATACATGGTTGCTATTAATTCTGCAAGAACACTGTTGACTTAGAAAGTTGCCTAGGTCCCTGGCCCTAAACCGGAGCCTACTTTCTTAGTAAAGTATTTTGGAGAATACATCCATAGTTCTGTGTTTACATATATAAAGCTATAAAATGTACTACCAAATTGCTGTGAACATTGAAGTCATTGAAATGTAAGTTTAGCATTTAGTATGCTTCTTGGGAGCCACTGATCTAGGTCTTATGTTGACAGTAGTGTATAGAGACTCGTTATTACTCAGTACTGCTCTAAGCAAGCACAGTTGACACTGTCTTCCGTTTGATTTGAAATCAACACTTGATTGATACTCAGACTGGCATTCAAATAAAAAAGCCTTGATAAACAAGCAGAAGTCCCTGCACTTCATCCAACTTTTCTTTCACGGGCACTTATGAACTGTTTTAGAAGGTAAGTCCATTTTTTTTTTTTTGGTTTTGTATTATGTTTAGCCTTTCATGCTAACGGATTGTTTGCAGATGTAAAAACGGGTTGGAGGCTTTTACTCATCTCAAATGTAGTACCTGACGGGGATGGGTGAACATTCTTGTGTGACAGCATGTGCATGGGTTTCAGGGTATCACTGGGTTTCGTCTGTCAGGCTTGCTGTTCTCCAGTTTAGTAACTGATGCTCCTTGGTGCTTTGTGACTTCAAACCTCATCTCTGAACTGGACACCATTAGTCAGTGTTTTCTCAGCTATAAAATTGAGCTCATGTCTTTGCGTGTTCCGGGATTAACTTTGTGACTTAATGAGATGTCCAGACCTTGGGGTTAAAGTGTCTGCTGCTGTACATATCTATACCTACTTATTTGCTTTCTGCTTGTTTTTTAAACATTTTGTTTTGCTTTATGTATATGTGTCTGTGTGTATGTATGCTCTGTGTATTTAGGTGTCCTTGGAGGCCAGAAGGCATCAGGCCCCCCAAAGTTTTCAGTCAGGAGCCACTTGTAGTTGATCTAATGTGGGTGCTGGGAACTGAAGCTGGTCCTCTATGAACGTTAGCAAGCACTCTGAACTGACATTTTTCGAGTCATTGAACTCTGGATTTGAAAGTAGGGCACTCTAGAAATGTGGTAACTATCTTAAAGAGGTTAAGAATGTGAGTCAGAATGACCTCTTGTGTAAGAAATGAAGTTTACTAGCCATCTCTGGCAGGCACGTTGCAGTTTGTGGTGCCAGCAGTATTGGCTTTTGTATAAATGGTTTTCACCAAACTTGAGGGCTAAGGATTTCCTGTATTTCTTAGATTTTGAGAGCTTCATGGGAAGAATGAGGAATATTATTGGCCTGGGCAAAGGACAGTTGGGTCAAAGGAGACTGGCTCACAAAGAGCAGGAAACCCTATTGGCCAAGCAAAACCTCTGGGCTCAGTGCAGTTTACAGACCCCTAGATCTAATAGCATTTGGTCTTCCTGAATCCTTAGTAGTAATGAGAGTAGGATAGGTGGCACTTTTGTGCATCTGTGGATGTACGCTATGAAATTGTGGGGAGTTAGGCACAGCTAATAAATCTTCCAGGGTGGAGCCCACATAGGTCCCTGACCTCCAGGCATGAAGACATGTAAATGGAGCACCAAATTCCTGATTGTGGGGTTACTTGGCTACCTTTGAACTTCACCTATTTCATATGAAAATGGAGTGCAAGTATAGTGAGTGATATTTATGTTTTAATAAAGCTTACTAAAGATCAGAAGGGCAAAGCTAAGCCCCTAGAAGTCAGGCAGTGGTGGCACACATCTTTAATCCCAGGATTTGGGAGACAGGCAATTGGATCTCTGAGTTCAAGGCCACCCTCAGCTATACAAGATCAATACTGAAACAAATCCAGGTGGTGGTGGCGGAGTAACACCTTTAATCCCAGCACTAGAGGGAATATAAAATGGGAGGAGAGAGAAGGGCTCAGGCAGTTTAATCTGTGGTCACCCAGATTTTCCTGTGATGCCTCTGACACCCCTAGCTCCTATAATCCCTCCTCATTTTCCTCACAAGCTCACCCCAGTGTTTGGCCATGGATCTCTTGAATCTGCCTCCATCAGTCCCTGGATGAAGGCTCTCCCTTGACAACCAGGGTAGTCACCAATCCAATCACGGGGTGGCCAGTTCAAGAGCTATGTATTCACTGCTTCCAGGAGTCTTAGCTGGGACCGATCTTGTAGACTTGTGGAAGTCTCCCTCGCATCAGGCTTCTACCCTACCCTGTAAAGCCTCCTTTTCTAGTCATCTCTCTCAGCACTCCCCCTATCCTCCCACCCCAACCCGATCCCTCCAGTCCACCCGAAAAATCTCTATTTCCTCTTCCCAGGGAGATCCGTGCATTCCCCCCCTCACCCACCAGCCCCTGCCCTGGGCCTTCCTTTTTACCTTGGCTTTCTGAGTCTGTGGATTATAGCATGGTTATTCTTTACAGCTAATAGCCACTTATGAGTGAGTACATACTATGTTTATCTTTTTGGGTCTAGGTTACCTCAAGATGGCTTTTTTCTAGTTCCATTATTTTGCCTTGAAATTTCCTGGTGTCATTTTTTTTAACAGCTGAATAATGCTCTGTTGTGTAAATGTAAACATTTTCACTATTTTTCAGTTGAGGAGCATCTAGGTTGTTTCCAGGTTCTGTCTATTACAAATAAAGCACTATGAACATAGTTGAGCAAGTGCCCTTGTGGTATAATTGAGCATCCTTTGCATATTTGCCCAAGAATAGTATTGCTGGATCTTGAGGTAGATTGATTCCCAATTTTCCTAGAAACTACCATATTGGTTTCTAAAGAGGCTATACAAGTTTGCACTCAAACTAGCAATGGAGGAGTGCTCCCCTTGCTCCACATCCTCTCCAGCATAAGCTGTCATTTGTGTTTTTTGATCTTAGACATTCTGACAAGTGTAAGATGGAATCTCAGAGTCATTTTAATTTGCATTTCCCTGATAGCTAAAGATGATGAACATTTCTTTAAGTGTTTCTCTGCCATTTGAGATTCTTCTGTTGAGAATTCTCTATTTAGGTCTATACCCCATTTTTAAATTGGATTATTTGTTTTTTTATGTCTAGTTTCTTGAGTTCTTTATGTTTTAGAGAGCAGCCCTCTGTCAGATGCAGGTTTATTAAAAATCTCTTCCCAGTCTGTGGACTGCCGTTTTGTCCCATTGATGGTGTCCTTTATCTTTACAGAACCTTTTTTCAG